CAAAGCTTGGTCCCTCCTTATCCAAGTCCAGCACCAAGAGCTCATCGTCTTCGCCAATGGTGCTGTCCTCAACAACAACTCCCCGTTCCCCTTCAACACCTCGGACTCCGATGGCCTCGCCTCGTTCTCGGGCTTCCCGAGCCCAGATCTCAAAACCCCCATAGATATCGCTGGAGATTTGACCCAGATTCAGGCACAGATCGACCTCGTCGGGACTTTCTTCGGGTCACCTCTACCCGCTTACCCGTTGCCCAAATCGATACCTCTCGACGACCCTTTATACATCTGCCCATCACCGAAGTTGGGTTTCAATTCGAGCAGTTCGCCAATTGGAGTAGTCGCGAATGTTTGGGAGCAGGATGAGGAGGAGGAAGAGAGGAGGAGGAGGAGGAGGAAGGAGGAGGAGGAGGGAGGGAGGGGGGAGGGGGTTAGGAGCAGGATAAGTTTTTTATAATGGAGTTTTATGTAAAAAATCTCATCAACACTAGCCGGAACAGTAACTCCGGCCAAACTTAATGCCAATATGGCGCCGGAGTTGAAAATTTATACGAATCTGACAAAACTTAAAAAAAATATATCAACTTGTCACCAAGCCTCAAGAATTTATACCAATCTGGCCATTTTGCCGTTTGGAATATAGAAGTTTGCATACAATTAGAAAAGTAATTATTGACATGATATGTTTTTCAATTGAGTTTCTTCAATAAAAAGCATTGTTGCTAATTATTTGATTTTGGGGTTGTGCGCATACAAACAGAGTTATAGCTAGCAAAATCTCCCTTAACTTTGGACGATTATCAGATAATTTCCCATAACTTTTAAGATATTAGAAACTTTAGATATTATCAGAAACAATTCAGTAATTCTCATCGCAATCGACGTAGATATTGATAGTATCAATCTATCGCAAATATTTAACTTGAAAAGTAAATGAGTAAATACACATCTCATTACATGACTATCTCAGACTAATGATTTTCATTTGAACAAATCACAAAGCTTATCAAAATCTTTGCTTGCATTCTTGACGGAACAAAATAACGGATAAAAACATAATGTAGTTTTATTTCGGCATTTAGTATGTAAAGAAACAAAAAAAAAATCATATGACATATAAGAGGATTCTCTCGTATACAATGATAAGTTCTTCTTGTGTTACTTAGCTCAAGCCACAACACCTAGTTGAAATAAAATCACATTATTGTATCCGATAAAAGCCACTCGTATATCACACATAACCCCCCTATGGCATAACAATTCTCTTCTATGTATAAACATCTGTTAGGAACTTAGGGGTCATAAACCCAATTATTAGCTAATTAATTATCTGAACAGTGCAAGAATTGCCAAATCAATTTTAGGAAATCCATCAAGCGTAACGATTGCTTGCCTTTCAAATTACGTTTACGAAGATCAATGCTAGCGCGAATCTAATAAAAAACCGTCCGAATTTACCCGTAGTTATTTTTGTTGACTGTTTCTAATAATGTTTAAGGGCCCATGTCCACGTGGACGGTAGAACATGAGGTAATAATTAAATATTAATAAATATTAAATACAAGTGATGGTTAGTAATAAAGGTTGTTTTGATTGCAAGCAACCAAGATCTGCGTTATAGTACGCGCCACGTGGCCTTCCTGATTGTTGACAGGTATTCGATCATTTGCTGTATGAATTTAATATTTTCTACAGTGTAAAGGGGGGCTACTTAATTATTGCACTATTTTAATATTTTATTATGGAAAACGAACAAAATTTATAACTTTGGAAAGTCTAACGTACGTGAGGTAATATATCTGTTGAGTATAAAAATACATGTAATCATGCAATCATTTTTTATTCAAAATTCATTTTCAAAAGGCCACCATTGAACCTAAGTTTATTCGACAATGAAAAATTATAGAGAGAAAAGAAAATAACAAGTCCATCTACGTGCACGTGCATCAAAAAAATATCAATTATTTGATCGTTAGACTCCGAGAGTCGAGCGTAGATCCAAAAATTGACATTCTTTGTATGCACACGTTTAATTTCATGGACGGACGCTGGATACTTTCTCCTCAAAACGTGAATCTAGAGGCGATGATGCTAACCATCTGCAATTTATCCAAAAAAAATACACATGAATCTATATTCCATGTATGGTTTCTAAAAGGAGTGACACTACAGGCACACCATGTGCCACATTCTCAGCCACACTCTCCTCTCTCTGCTACAGTAACCGGGGCCCACATGAGATTTATAAATAAATCTCATGTGGGCCCCGGTTACTGTAGCAGAGAGAGGAGAGTGTGGCTGAGGGTGTGGCACATGGTGTGCCTGTATCATTTTTGTTCTAAAAGCGAGGAAAAAGCAGCTTTAATGATGATACAACGTATCACCATGTGCAGTTTACTAATCGTGTGGCATACGTTACACCTACTCCAATGAACGTATTTACTCATTGGTTTTGAATGGAGGTTGTCTGGGGGCTTGCTGGTCCTCACTGGCACACAATAATGCTTGATTTTTCAGAAGGGAGAGCCTCCTCATTATTAGGTTTTCCGTGGTGTATAATAATGGGAAAGATTGATTTCTTATTATGAGAGCAAAATCTTCACCATGGTTTCTGCTGGCTCACGGCCTACAGCGTATAATTATGTGGACTCGGGCACGGGTAGGCAGCCAAATTTGACCCAGAAACAGCCAGGCGAGGGGAATCACGTTGTGAAATGTTTAACACAATAGTCTCAGCACCCTTCAGTACCTTCTCTATCGCGTCCGATGTCTCACTGAATATATAGGTTCCTCAAGCAGTGTTATTGACCTGTTCGATGCTGTCGACGTACTTGAATAAATACCAAGGAGCGTCGGAAACACTGCTTGGACACCAAATCATGCTCAGCTGATAGAGGATCTGTAGCAGGACAAAGTCCTTCACATCTCGGCGATCAGAAGATAGTACCAGCTTCAAGAGCAGGTCCTCCACATTGCGTCTGGTGGGGCCTCCTTTGGGGGGAGCTATACTGCTGGAACCCCCAGCCTCGGGTTTGTCAAAAAACCTGGACCAAATCCTATTTTTCCTATCCCGATTGTGGTCAACATGAAGCCCCTCATTGGAGAACCATGTATGCTCCATTACCCACTCAAGGTTGAATAAGCATGTGATCTCTTCTCCATCATTCTTATCAGTGAAGACGAATTTTTGCTTTTCTTGTCCCACTGACTCAAAATGTGCTCAAAGGTGGGAAGATCGACACCAGGTGGGCCAAATTGGACGTAGTGTCTGAATACACTATCTTCGTAGACCGCAAAATACATTGGCCCCATACGCATCACCAAATTCTGCATGAAGTCATGATAGGCACTGAAGCTGGCGATGGGCCGCAACATAATAGTTGGCTTTGCTCTTTTTCTACATAACAAAAACATAAGACAAGAGCATTTTTGAGTATAATCAGTAAACATAACAACTATGCTGTAAAATTTGCGGATAAACCAACAACCTTAACAACAATCCCATAACCTTATCAACCAAAACCTAACCTTAACAACCAAAGCCTAACCTCAACAACCAAACAACAACCTCAACAATAAAAGCATAAACCTTGCATGTTAATAGTAACCTCAACAGCTAACAGACACCCGTAATTTTGGACCTTCCCACCAGACTAGGAGCATCATCAATCAAACCATAACCTTAACAACATAAAACTTACGGTAAAAATTACCTTTTGGGTGCTGCCACGTGCTTCTCTTTTTCTCCTCTCTGTAGACCAAGGAGCGCTCTAGTGGCATCGTTGGACGCGCCGGTGGTGCTGGTGCTGCCCTCTAGACCTTCGCGGGGGCCTACACTTAAATTTTGAGGTGGGCTTCTGGGTTGAGAATGGCTAGTTGCGATGTCCTCTAGAACATTAGCAATCGCAGCTCCAGCTTCAGATTCAGTCCGCACTGCAGTTGTATGGGCTCTTTCTGAGATTTCAAACTGCTGGGTGTCATCGCTTTCGCTGTGGTTGGCATTGAGGTTAGCTTTGGGGGTTGAATCGCCGGCCATTTTGATCCCTTTGCTTTGATTCGGTTTGCGTTGGAGTCGGTTGATTTAGGGATAGGGTTTTAAATTGGGTTTTTGGAGTCAATTTGCTTGCAGAAGAGAGAGGTGACATGGTACAGACGAGGAGATAACTCATAACGAGGAATTTTAAACGGAAGGGTATTTTGGGCATTTCGAGTGAGGTTTAAACGGAGTTACACTTGGGAATTCCTTTTGGGGGCTAGAAGAAAATCGCGGGCGATTTTGAGGGCAAAGCACCCATTGAAAAAGTCTTGAGGGGAAGCACGTTTTCTTGTGTTTTGGGGGCTAGAAGCATTTTTCCTTTTTTTTTAATACAGAAATCAGCTTATGAGGGAGAAGGGCGGAGGACATTTTGGATTGTTAAGATAAAATTTAAACAAAAGTTGATTGATTGAAAGTTAAAAGTAAGTATAATGGAGTAAGAATTCTATCAGAACATCTTATAGAGTGATCTATACCATTTACAAGCAGTTGTCTGTCTCGATCACCTCACCCATATAGGAGTGGTTCTCTTAGATCCCTACTACTTATAATGTGGTTTTGTACAAGCGAAGGATTAAAAAAACTTTGAAGGTGGCTTCCAACGGTTTGCTCTATTTTAAAGGTGACATTTCATTATTAAAAATAAAATCTTAATACTGCCCCAAAAGATGAATAATGGCATGGTAGATATTTTTTTGCTTCAAACCATGTGATATATCTCGGAGGAATTATCCATCAGTTCCCTAATATGGAAAACACAAAAGTTGATAAAAAGCTGTTTATAAAAGGTAAATGCAGAGTAATTATCCGACACAAGAAGCTTCAATAGATGATTTTAGATGATATTTTGATGCTAAGTAGCTAAAATAACGAAAGGCTTTGGCCAAATACAGTTAACCATGGCCATATTTTCTCCAGCCCTCGAATTCTAAAGAAGAAACGTCAAACGTCTGATTACCAGAAAACAGAGAGAAAATAAGAAAATATAACATTTGCAACAAAGAGAGGTTGCAATTTCCACATACTACAAACACAATACGAAGGAGCCGAACCCAAAACAAACTCCGTCCTACTGTAAAAGAAATGGGTTATATTTTCCCAAAAAAAAAACAACAAAACTGCATTTCATCCTTCTAGCAAGGAAACGTATTCAAAGTCCTGTATAAGAGAAATAAGAAATCAATTTCCTTCCTCTTTAAAGCGTCCAAGAATCTAGATGACATGTTACTAAAAAATAAAGGTGAAAGTAAGGAATTACGCGAAGTTCATCTCCTTTCATACCAAGCGGCGATAGGGAACCGAAATTCTCCTTGCCAACTCCAATAGATTTCTACAAATTTGAAAGGAGATAAACCCTTTGAAAAGCTTCATACGCTTCAATAAGCCCTCCCATGGCCCTGCTCGAACTTTTGCTTGATAACGTGAAGCAGGAAAACTAAGAAGTTCAAAGATCTCAAAAAATAGGGTGACTTCCAATTCGGAGTCCTCAAAAGAATCCTGCATCACAAGGACTATACATGTTCTAAACCATATCTACAGTTGGCCTAAAAGACCAGCCACTTTGTTTCTTAAAACCCAGACATCATAGTAGATGAATCCGATCCGACTTCAAATATCTGCATTCACAAGACAGATAAATTAAGAAATGAAATTATGTGAAAAATCATTAATTGTGATAGGTTACCATATTTGCAATTTATAATGTTCAATACTCTACCTTAATTGAGATGTTTAAATCCAGTACAGGCAAGTATAAGATGGCAACAACTGTTAAATAGTAAAAATTATTATGGCTTGGCAATTGTAACGTTCCAAATAATTCATGTAATCAAAGTATTAAGGCCCAAACACAACTGAATCAAAGAATAGGCTTCTTTCTTTTTATTTATCCTTTTCTTCGCTTTGATCATTTTTTGGCACTGCATGGTGCATATTGAACATGCTTATTATTAAAACTTGAAGTACCATTTAGCCTCTTAGCCTCAATATCTCCCTGATCCATGACCCAAATGAATAATGTTTTTCTTTTGCTTTGAAAGCTAGAACTTCGAGCTAAAAGTAGTTAAAAACACAATACACAGTATACGAAATATAATAGGGGAACACATTACATGTTCATATTTTCAAGAAAAGATACAAGGAAGGGAAAAACATCCACAAAATACCATCTCACAAAAAATAAGAAGACCCAATCACCATTCCATTCATTTGACCCTTTATATTATCGCAATATGTCAGTATATATCTTTCCACACCCATTGAACTACAGTTTGCCCTACTGTAATTGATGAAAAAGAAGCTTGGACGAACTGCATTACGTCTTTAACTGGCAAATTCAGACTCAAAACACCCTAAAATACTAAGCAAATGCCGCAAACTGCATGTTCTGTTTCTTTTGGATCCAGAACTTGAAAGTTGAAAATAAATAATATGGTCAAAATGTGGACAGATTTAAAGTTTGGTTCAACGTCCTAAGTCATAAAGTTCATAGTCACAGCCCGGGCCTGCCTGCAAGCCCGTTTTTGGCCCAATGTAAGTCATGGGACCCACTGAGTGCAGCGTATTGTTTGGCTCAACCCATTGCACTGAGTGCAACGTATTGTTTAGCTAAAACCACTGCCAAAATTGGCTAGCCAATGCTACGCTTGAACCCCATGACCCATCATTTAACCCCTCAATAACTCTTCTCATTTTCCCACATAGGACTAAAGTATTGGTGCATTACTTTCATGATTGACTAAATATTTATTAAAATATTTGCCAATCACCAGTCTCATGATGCTCAACAAACAGTGGTGTGATTCTAAAACGTTTGAGAGATCATGAAATATTTGGAACCTCGCTGGTGGAAGGGCATGTAAAGCTCATAAGTATGTTGAATTAAGAAGGATTTAAACAAGAGCATCACCATCATAATTCCATTTCTGTTGGAAAAGCCAAAGCCACTGCATCAGCAAAAGCCTGTGATTCTTCATAATCAGCTTCTGCAGACTCAGCCCGTCTCACTGCTTCTTCAGCTTCAGCCGTGGCTATTTCTGCCTTTGCAATTGCCTGAGAAGCAGCTGCTGCTGCCTCCTGTGCGGTCATAAGTTCCATCCATTCTAAGTTGGTATCAATGGGAAATTTTTTAATATGTTTGATACCCGCCTTATCCTCTCTAGAAGGTTCCCTCTGCCTCCCTTCATGTAAAACCTTGGAGCTTCTTCCTCCGGGAAAATCTGAACGTAGTGCTACCTTATAATTATGCTTAGCCTGTAGAAAAAATTATAACTAGATATAATATATATGATCAAAATACTCAAACTAGAAGCGGAAGAACAATATATGAAAAAGGGATATGACATCAAACTGCTTCTGAGTAGAAGTGAATAAGGATAAAAGTCTGCCAATAGTTAATACCTATTCAGCTCCATTTCCTGATAGAGTAGAATCTAATCAGCAGAGAAATGCAAAAAACAGATCAATTCAAATACCTCATTGACGGGACTTTCATAAAATATAATGCAGCGGTTCCTGCTTTCCTAACCTTACTCACCGAAAGTCCATAGGAAAATCTTTCCTAACCTTTGCTCACTAAGGTCCATAGGAAAATTAGAGCAGATTAAAATCAAGTTCCTTAATCACTGTGCAGTAAAGACAATGAGTGTAATTGATTGATTCACCTTCCTGACAAATATACTTTGTTCTAAGCAAATGTGAGCAAACAGAAAAGGAATGTATGCTTTAAGAAGAGCCCATTCAAGAAGTTACCAACAGAACTTCTCATATGAATACTGAGTCCTAATTTAAAATCTTCTACGGAAAGCTAGCAATGTTGTTTATACCTTGCTGTCAGAAACCTACATAAGCTGAAAGGGAACACTCAACAAGGGATGCATCCATGCTTAGTTATTATAAAGGCTGTTTTATTAAGCTCTGCTTCAGCAGAAACATAGAAGTTTTTAAGTATCATTACTGGAAAGCTAGTTGAGAAATCTTGATTGTATTTTCATGCAAACAGCAGCAACAGATCCTTAAATTCGAGGCCACCTACATGTATTCTCACATTGGTTTTTGTTAAGGGCGACCAATTTGTTCAAATAAATAACTAGCAAACCTCCTGCCATCTCTGTTTACGCCTATTTACAAACCTAATTAATCTGTAAACTGCTATCTTATCGCTTCGAAATAGTGCACCTATTGGCCTCCGTGGGACATGCCCAAATGAACTCAGTTTGTTACCTTCTATCCTCAAAGGAGCATTATTTTAACTTATTATGAATGCATCCATTTCTTATACTATCTCTTAGCACATTTGTCACTCATACATCTCATCGTTCTCATCTATGCTATGCTTTTTTTTTTGACTTGTTTCCTCAATTTCAAGCACTTAACAACAAAGTGTTGCTTGTCTTAAACCCATTATATTGACTTTTCTCTTTACCTTCACAGTTCACAGGTGTTCTGCACTCACATCAAACTATTTGCAAACCCAATTTTATATGTAAATGAAAATATGAATATAAATGTACTAAGCTTCTGATCTGGGACATTTAACAAGGTAATTCCATATCTAGTAAAGATAAATACTTCTCATCATACATCTTTAACCAGCAAACTAGAACTCAAGTTAAAAATAGACTACACAAACAAAGCATTGAGTTGAATACGCAGGGAGTCGAGCTCAGGTATGATTGTATGAGTATACACTAAAAAAACTATCAGAACAAATTAAAACAAACTAATTATGTTTATGATATGAGGAACGGAGTGGTCCAATTTAGGTGAGATTGTGCTCTATATAGCAACTGTGGAGATATTTTTTTTCTGAGGAAAATTATTAGGGTTTGTGCTTGTAAGAAATAGGCCATTTCCCACTTTGTGTATAGCAGCAGCATCTTCCCACCAAACATGCAGGCCTATCCAACTTAACTCATTAATTTATGGAGTGTTTATTCTCCCTTTGTCTTAACTTGTTGGCTTGTCCCCTGCTATAGAGGAGCCCTCAATCATCCAGATTGGCCACCACGTCAGCTCCAGCCTATATATCATGTTCAGATCTGAAGAGTTTAGGGTTCTTGATACTTGTTACATGCTAACACAACTAATCAAAGACATGAGTCCTAAGATATCTTAAAACTGATGGTGAACCTTATGAGGAAAAAGGTGTACCTGAATTGTCTAAATACTTAACCCTAAATGTTTGATACATATTAAAGGGATTTGGAAATAAAGAAAACAAAGAAGAAATTAGCCGTGAGAATTCTCTACGCTTATATAGCATCAGAAATATGAACTAACACTGGGTTGCACTTGCTGACACTATTCCATTTAGTACTATAAGTAAACAATCGAGAGCAGAAAACTAAGGGTATGGCCAAAAACTAAGCCAACTCAAGCCAATCCAAGGACATGTCATTTATTTTAACTGTGGGTAACTTTTTGACTATGCATCCAGATCCCAGGCAAACTAAGCAAATAAATCTGCATTAAATTTGCAATTTTTCAATTATATCATCTTTGCTAAATAATTGTGGCTAAGCTCTTCCGCAGCAAAATTTACAGCTTCCATAGATTGAAGCAGATTGGAAAACATGTTACCTTAATCAATTTACCAGTTTCAGTCAATCTTTGCAATTCTCCAGACATTGCTTGCTTGAAATCTGGAGGAGGCACATATTGGTTCTGCACAAATCAAATTAAACAACAAAACGAATAAGATCTAGCCAACAATGAAAGAATAAAACAATATTTTCTAGAAAATATAACTGAATTACAAATAAAAATCATCTGAGTCAAAAATACATTAACAGCATTATGCCTTACACATGTAACCAATAATTACACTATTATAACAATGGCAAAGTTAAAAATGCATCAGTATTGAACAGATCCCCTACTTTTATTCTTCCATCAAAAAACAAGTGACAGTGACATATAGTTTGTGGATAGACATACAAAGTTATCTTCCTCTCTAATAACAAGACAACAGTCGATGCTTGATCCAGTGAAATAGAATGTGGAAAAAAACAGATCAGCGACACAATTTCTTGAGGCAAGCATAATAACAGTTTACCAGTAGGAACATATTTGATGAAATAAGATAGTTACTGAGTTGCATGAAAACTGGTACAGGTAGGGGTACGTGCACTGGCACGGGACACGGCAAATTTGTAAAATGTAGAGTATGGGGACACGGCTACATATATATAGAAATTAATAAATCTGCATTACATCGTTGTTGTTTTTAAATTAATGTGATACTAGAATTAGAAGTCCTATCACATTTCTAAGTTTCTTGTATTATGTTGATTATTATAAATTAAGAACCACTTGTTTTTGAACTTGACACTTAAATGACCATCTTAAATCATAGTTACTGCATGGGCTGAAACAAACCTGTCAAGAAATAGATATGAAGCGTAGGATATACATCCAAGAACTGTATTGCAAGTGTTTTAAATTAAACCATATATCATATCACGTCTGCATGAATTAATGCATATATCAAAGAGTGTCCATGAAGTTTGGGTACGGAAAAGTGTCGGGTGTGTATCTGGTATGGGTATGACTTCATGATAGAAGTACCCCAGTAACATAGGATAGCTTAGAAATTAATTTGTAGAGCTAGAAGACTAAATAGTGTTGTGGAACATAGATAGATAATACTTGGTGCTATCCCATAGTTACCTTCAATGTGACATAGCTGCTAAATGAACAAGAGGCCTTGAAACAGAGACAAATAAGTTTGGTCATTCCATAATAAACATAAAGTACTTAAAACCATTCATGAACAGGAAAATATAACTTTAATATCTTTCAAATTTGCATTTTGTAGCATTTTTAATATTCAGAGACTGCAAGAAATACTATGGATTCCAATTTCGAGCTTATGAGCATTAATAAGATATCAGCCCTATTCGCGGAGAGAGATTTTCACCTAATCAAGCATGATGGGTTAATGTAGTGTTATACATTATCCAGAGGCCTATAAAAATAACTTAGCATTAGAGGCCTTCTCCAAGAAAAATGATATTCACCTCTATATACATCGTAATAGTTGTTTTATTGGACCCAGTTGGCTCCTTCAAGTTGATTATGGCTTCTAGTATAAGAGTCTCTAGCCTGCACATGTACAAAGGAACCAATAAAGAAATCAATAACTAAACCTAAATAAATAATAACAATAAACTTTAGAGTTATGTCCAAAACTGTTTGATTATACAAAACTAAAGTTTAATATAAAGTTCCTTCACTTTAAGCTTGTAGTGCTAATTGTTACACCGGAAGAGAAACCACAGCACTCCCGTATCAGACTGTTAATAAGAAGTAATTTATTTTCAAAGATAAATCATCATCATAACTACTTAAATACAACATTAATAGTTTCTTTTAAATTTACTTTTGGAGTCTTATTGTTGTTGGGAGTTAGGAGAAAAGAATAGTAAGAGCACGTTTGCAAGTGGTCAAAGTGGCTTACATGATTGGCAAATCGCTTGTTTTGGCTTATAAGCCATCAAAAAATAAGCTAGGGTACCTAGCTTATTTTTTGTACCCTAGCTTATTTTTTGTACCCTAGCTTATTTTTTGGTGGCTTATAGGCCATAAAGTTTGACCAAGAAAAAGACCAATGTAGCCCTCATCATTTCATAAAAGTCCAAGCACCATTTATCTCTCTCCAACCCCATTAAATGTTTTTTGATCATTTTGACAACAATGATGTCTTATACGCCACTTATTTGCCAAACACTCTACTATTGAATATGGAATATAATTCACTAAGTTTATCAAACACTTTGAATTATAATCCACTTGGATTATAATCTACAAAACTGTATATATAATGTAGAAAATTTTCAGCCTCTTCTTCATGATAACTGTAGTAACATGAAATGGTTTGTTGACCAAAGATTTATCTGAAGATTGACCCTGCAGTAGAAGACTAAATGAGAAGACAATCAAATATGCGGAAGGAAAGATGTCAAACCAGGCATAAAAGCAGAAAGCTCCCCATGTTAAGATAACCCAGTTGCACACATAATTCAGCTTTGAATGAGATTAAAATGTTCTCATGATACATTATTGATTGCTGTGAAGCTTAAAATCAAATAGTTTTGCAATTGGACGGAGATGTGCTTTCCAGTTAGAAAAGTGAGTTTCCAGTCTGAAATTTTACTGGCATGTCCTTTTGCGGACAAATTTGCATAATTACTAGACTTCATTTTCAATAAATCTCCTTGATCCTTCTCTTTCATGCAGATATATGAATACAGAATAAACACAAGTGCAGCAACAGAAAACTACTAAGCTTAACAAACTGCATCTAGACTTTCCATCTTCAATCAACTAACCTATTGCTCTTTTTTTATTTATTGCCATTTCTGATTGCACGCTACAAGGCTTCTACTCTTGTTTTGATGTCTAATTTTACTTGCATTTGCTCACGCCAACTATTTTTCATTTTTCATTTTTTCATTTATAATTCATTCTTCTGCTCTATGATAGCATGTTCTAGGTCCTTTCTAGAAATCTTCAAAGGAAAGCCTCAATACATGAGCTTCATAATTCAGGTTTATATTCATAATATCTAAGATAATATTTAATCTATCCTATTTTTCCCTTAAACCATCTTTTTCCATGATCAACAATCAACAAAATCCACACAAACATAATTCTCTCGGTGGCTCATGTGGCAAAATGAGCTGTGACCTTATACTTATTGTTTCCTCTTTGTGTGTGTGGATGGGTGCGGGTGAATTTGTGTGAGACCATTTGCACACAAGGAAAAAAACAATCATGACTCACAATGCAACTGAAACACTAACTTTGCCTCTGATTTCTTAGGAGTGTTGATCTGAGGAGATCCAGCTGATACTGCGAGAGGCTTAACATCAATAGTCTCATCAGGGTAATCGTCAACATTCTCAAGGGCCATCTGCCTGTTCGTATTCTTAAGAATCTGTCGGGTACTACCTTTCACCGCCATAGGAGCTCTTTGAGGTCCCCGTCCAGATGGTATAGAAATGTTTCGCCATTTGTCCTACAGAAATGCAAAAGTGTAAAGAACAACAATTCACAATCATAAGCCATGACAACCACTCTAAAGAAACTTAGCCAACGCATCAAGTCGACTACCTTAAGATCAACATTCGACCTCGAATATAAGATATGGCTAAATTCAGTATCTTTCAATATTGTGCACCATTTCCCGGTCCCGTGTTTGGCAATCCCAGCTTTAAGTGCTGATTCCTCTTCTGCCGTCCATTTCTGCTTCGGAGCACCCATCAACAAGAGCTTTCAGAACCTCCTAGATGAATCTCGAGATATTAAATCTAACAACTGCTAAACCATTCACAAAGATCCTGTCAATAACATGAGATAATCAAATATCGATTCAATGCAAATCATCTCCATAAATTCCATCAATAAAGTAACTCCAACCAATACAAAATGAATATACAAATTGAATAATTTTTCAAAACAGGCCGATTTAGCTTTTTATTTTTCAAAATCGACCGTTTTTTATTTATTTATCAAAATCGACCCGGTTTTGTGATTAGCAGGTTAATCACTATCCTAAATAGTCGGGGTTGCCAACCCCGACTATTTAGGATAGTGTTAAACCCTAATTAAAGGCCTTAAACCCTAAAAATTAATGTCCTAATTAGTCGGGGTTGGCAACCTATGTAGCACGGACACGGATCCGACACGGCCATCCGACACGTCGACACGAGGCAAATCCTAAAAAATACATAGGATACGTGTGTTCGACACGTGTATCCGACACGGACACGACACGACACGGCTTCATGTTATGCGTGTCCGTGCTTCATAGTTGGCAACCCCGACTATTTAGGATAGTGATTAGCCTGCTAATCACAAAACCGGGTCGATTTTGATAAATAAATAAAAAAACGGTCGATTTTGAAAAATAAAAAATGAAATCGGACTATTTTGAAAAATTGTTCTATACAAATTAGCTCCTCCAAAAACGAAAAAGAGACGCAAAAAGATATATTTGACATGTAAAAATGGCAAACGCCTAATAAGTTAGCGATCACGATCAGCATTTACCAATTAGGGCAAATAAATCCACAGGCAATTTCGAAATGAGAAATTGAGTCAAAACATTGAAAAATGAAATGCTCGCTAAATACAATCTTCTCACAATGCAGAACCAATCAATCAGTTTCACATTTAAAAATGAATCATCAATCGATTGCAAGTAGGCAACAAGATAAGATCAGGATCTAAAAAAAAAAAAACCCTGATTTGCGTTTGAATCGAGATGGTACAGAAACGTGATCCAGTCTAAAACCCTAATTCTTCCCAAAACCCTAATTTAGTGAAATTCTCAGTGAGGAGGTCTCAAGAGCGATCTTAGTTCATCAATAATCTAGGAAAAATTAAAAGAGGATAAAGAGAGCACCTCGAATTGATGCGAGATCGATTCACAGTTGAGAATTGAGAGAGGTGGGGGAGAGGAGGGTTTTATGTGGGCTTTGTTTGTTTCGCGCCGTGCCTTAGCCTGCCCTAACCCTAACTAATTGGGTTAATTGCATATTAGCCCCTTACATCATCTTTAATTGTCAAAAAGTCGCTCAAATTATTATTCTCCACAAAGTTCCTCGAATCTTCATTTTATTGCGAACTCGTCCCTCTGTTAAGGATTATGTTAATTTCTCTAACTGCAGTGGGGTTAAGCCTTAACCCAACATGTAAAATCACTCATGTACGATTTGTACTCCCCTGAAAGCACTTCTTTTAGTTTTGAAAGTAAGAAGGGATGAAGATGAATGGAATGTAATGAAGACTTTAGAGGATTATATAGGTTTCGAGGAAATTTAACCTTTGGAACAACTCTAGTTCGAGCTTTGGGGGGTGTTTGGGTGGGGGTACTAACGAGAAGCTCATCCATTTCTCTTTGAGTTAACGGAACTCCACCCAAATTAATAACTTACCTAATCAGCATTGTCAATAAAAATGAAGACTCGAGGGACTCTGTGGCAATTAAGAATGATGTAAGGGACTAACATGCAGTTAGCCCTTACTAATTTCATCTCCACCAACGGTCATCGGATTCGGAGTGCTAAAAATTCGGGCAATTATGAGCCAAAAGCCCAAAACGAGTCGGACCCCAATTGTAACGGGCTGATTTGTTCTCCATCCTAGGGTTAAGCCCAACCCAATTGAACATAGAAAGGGAAAACAGTAAATAGTAAATACCCAAAAAGGTCAAAACAGTCCACAGTAATATCAGCCCGGAAAATAAAAACCTTATCCAATCTGCACAGGCCCGTAAGCTAACCAGGGCCTCCCACGTCAGCAAACGGCATCTCTTCGCGATCCATGGGCTTGTGTACAGGCCACAACCTCCTCGTGTGGGCCCTGCTCTCCTGTGAGTCTTAAAAAAGAGATTTCTCTCCTAACGAAAACTTTGTCAAAACTTGATCCCTCAGCGAAATTCTCAGGGCGAGAAAATGGCTGCCAAGCTCATCTCTGCGTCCGCGGTTATGGCCTCGGCCCCCCCTCAGTTCTCCGGCCTCAAGGCTCAGCCATCAACGATGGTGGGTTACAAAAAAAGGATATACTTTATTATTTACATTATACGTTCATGATAAATTTGTACTGTTGGTATGATGTGGCTATTGAATTTGTAGGTGACGCTGCCGGCGG